AGAAAAGAGAGAGCAGAGAAATAATAAAAGGAAAGAGAAAAAATTATGAGAAAAGAGCAGTGTGTGAGGCTTATACAATTACACCTAACTTACATATATAAACACAAAGTACTAAAATACAATTAAGCTAGAAATAGAGCATAACATAACCCATAACACTCCCCTTCAAATTTGCGCATAGATCTCCCATGTTCAACTTTCAAACAATGGGATGAAAAACCTTACTACTAAGCCCCTTTGTGAAGACATCAGCTAACTAATTCTCTGATTTCACAAAGGGCATGCAAATCAAGCTCTAATTCAAATTTTTTTAATGAAGTGTCAATCAATTTCAACATGTTTAGTTCTATTATGTTGAACTAAATTATGGGCAATGTTGATAGCAACCATATTGTAATAGTAAAGTTTCGTAGGTCTATCATAATGAATTCTCAACTCTCCCAACAAGATTTGGAGTAACATAAGTTCACAAATTCCATAGGTCATTACTCTATATTCCACCTCGACAATGGAACCGGCAACCATTGCTTATTTTTTACTTCGCCGTGTGAGATGGTTTTATCCTATCAAGGTGCAATAGTCTAAAGCAGATTGTTCGTCATCCACTGAACCTATCCAGTTTGCATCATAGAATGCCTCCAAAATCAAGTGACCATTTGGAGAACAAGATCCCTTTTTTTTTGGAGCAAACTTGAGATACTTCAAAATGTGATAAACAACTTTAAAATGGGGGATTCAAGAATCATGTATGAATTGACTGACAATACTCACTGCATAAGCAATATCTGATCGAGTATAAAAGAGGTATATCAAGTTTTTCACCGGTCTCTGGTACCTCTCCTTATCTACTATATCACCAATAGTACCACTCAGTTGATGGTTGACTTCAATAAGAGAATCTATCAGTCTATATCCTAAGTTCCTAACATACATGTTTCTTCAAGAAGGTTAAGAACATACTTTCTCTAAGAGATAAAAATTCTTTTATCTGATCTGGCAACCTCAACCCCAAGAAAATATCACCTAGGTTTTGATTTCAAACTCTTTGACCAATTGAACTTTAGTTTTGGTGACTTCATGCCTAGTATTCCCAGTTATCACTATGTCATCGACAAATGTAATAAGGATTGTAATCTTGTCATCAACCTGTCTAATGAACATAGTATGATCAACATAACTCAGTTTATACCCAAATTTTAGCATAGTTTTGAAAAGCTTATCAAACCAAGCTATGGTATGTAGACTGATAGATTCTTTTATTGAAATCAAAGACACACCATTTATGCACATAAGGCTAAATGTATACACATGTGGTCCCAAAGACCTCAAAATCATAAATACATATATGGCTGGTACCAATGATCAAAATTTTTTTTCGGCTCATTATTTTGGTCACCTAAGAAAAGGAAACGTTTCGACGTGTTTCGAAAACATTTCAATCTGTTTCAAAAACATAATGAAAAAAATAAAAAATTTAAGAATTATTTTTTCAAAACATTAGTTTCGACATGCCAAAATATCTTGAAATATTCCGAAATAATTGTGCAAATGCATAGAAATCTAACAAAACATTTTGAAACATTATGGAACGCCTCAAAGTATTAGAATTTCGATTTCATCATTAATTCGTTTCGATCTCCTTCGAAACATAAATGTTTCAAATATTTCGACCGTTTCGAAACGATATTTTGATCATTGGCTGATAGAATACAAGGATCAATTTTTAAAACACATAATGACATTTTTATCAAATCATCATAATATAGTTCAAAGTGTAAATTTATCAATTTCTTAAATAGAGCTTCATCATATTATAGAAGACATATTTCTCGAACAACATTCTCATGGAACATAATTCAGTTGCATGAGAATTCAAGTTTATCAAAAACATTTATTTTTCATAAATCTAAGGATTTCAAAAATTGGCATTTTATCAAGACCACGATAATATTGTAATCCACTCACCCAACCAAACTATATATTGTCTAGCAAGCATCAAACTCTAGAGTTGTCCTTGGTGTTAGTTCTTCCACTATGGTATACTAAGATGAATATGTACAATTTAAACTAATAGCAATGGGGTGCTACATGATATGCATGGATATGAATGAATCCAAAATTATTTCAATCTTGGCACCTTAAGTTATTTTGGTAATTTTATACGAATCAAAAATCTGGTTTCCTTAATTGGAAACATTTACTTAAGTTTTACATAAGAAATTATGCTCCCTTTCAATTATAATTATCATTCAATATGAATTCCTTAGAAACATTCAGTGTACGTATTTAATCGAGGCAAAAATCATTTTTATTAGCCACACTATTTATGCTAGTAGAGTTTATTATGCTGAGGGAGGAGTCAATTAACTTATTTATAATGCTAAGATCTTGAAAAAACTGAATATGATCTCATTGGAAAGATAATAAAATTTTATGGGGGTCTTGGTGAGAGTTAGAAACTTTCAAGGGTGATCTAAGCAATTACTAAATTTTTCTTGGACAATTCTTGATTTCTAGAGCTTTATGGGTTCATTTATAATTTCTAATACTCTTTNTCCTCTCAACAAGGGCTACATTCTCATTGATCGGTTCGGCTATAAAGAGAACACAATTCTCTTGATTTGAGAAAAATTATTTTAGGTATGATATTTTGCTAAGTTTAGAATAGATTTAAGTTTTATTGTCTTCTTNTTTTGGGGTATAGTTGAAAGATATCAAAACTTTTGAGGCAGTTTCATAATTTTCAAAACTATAGGGGGCTGACATGTAATTTTCAAAGCCATGTGAAGGGTGTAATNATGTATACACATGTGGTCCCAAAGACCTCAAAATCATAAATACATATATGGCTGGTACCAATGATCAAAAAATTTTTTCGGCTCATTATTTTGGTCACCTAAGAAAAGGAAACGTTTCGACGTGTTTCGGANTTTCAATTATATTAAACTTTAGGGTGGTGACTTCAAAAATTTTGGAATTTATTAGGGGCTGATTTATAATTTCTAAAACTATGTTAGGGGTATAATCAGAAATGTTGAAAATTGGTTGTGGTAATTTCAATGGGGACAGCAATATAACATTCAAAACTGTTGGGGTCTGCAGTGTAATAGTTAAAACCGAGGCNTAATGAAAAAAATAAAAAATTTAAGAATTATTTTTTCAAAACATTAGTTTCGACATACCAAAATATCTTGAAATATTCCGAAATAATTGTGCAAATGCATAGAAATCTAACAAAACATTTTGAAACATTATGGAACGCCTCAAAGTATTAGAATTTCGATTTCATCATTAATTCGTTTCGATCTCCTTCGAAACATAAACGNGCTGAAATATAATTTTATAAAATTTTCTAGGGCATAAATCAAAATAATTCAAATTTTAAGGACTAAATTGTAATTTTTTTTTAAAAAATTGCAACGCCTGCATCCACATGGCAGCTATATCACCAGANAAAACCGAGGCTGAAATATAATTTTATAAAATTTTCTAGGGCATAAATCAAAATAATTCAAATTTCAAGGACTAAATTGTAATTTTTTTTAAAAAAATTGCAACGCCTGCATCCACATGGCAGCTATATCACCAGACTCTACTTTTATATGAAGTTAAAAGCCATGACAAGTACAACACACCTTGAATATGGGTAGTATTTTTCTTTGGTTTGATGGTGTTTGTTAGATACACATACGGTATTGTTTGAATGTTATATGCATGTATGTATAGCTTAAACAAATGTCAAACTTAGCCAAAATATCTAATACTAGTTATTGTCTGTGCCTGAAAGCACAAANATGCATGTATGTATAGCTTAAACAAATGTCAAACTTAGCCAAAATATCTAATACTAGTTATTGTCTGTGCCTGAATGCACAAAGTAATAAAAAATGATAAACAATAAACATATTTGTATTCATATTCAAAATCAAATCACAAACATAGAAAAAAGATAAAAGAATTTATGCATCGATTTACCGTGGGGGTAAAAGGTGGTGATGGCGGCGGCAGCGGCAGCGGCAGCGATGGTGATGGCAGAGGTGGCAGAGATAGTGGTGGAGCGGTTTCAAATACTATTTTTTTTTTAAAAAATATTTATGAGAAATAATTTCTAAAATTACTTTTAAAAAATCACCACAAACACATACTTAGGGGCCTATTTTTCTTATTAAATTTGGAGTATTAATGTTAACCGTTAGATTAACTTTAAAGTACAATTTAAATCGATTTNTTTGTATTCATATTCAAAATCAAATCACAAACATAGAGAAAAGATAAAGGAATTTATGCATCGATTTACCGTGGGGGTAAAAGGTGGTGATGGCGGCGGCAGCGATGGTGATGGCAGAGGTGGCAGAGATAGTGGTGGAGTGGTTTCAAATACTATTTTTTTTTTTAAAAATATTTATGAGAAATAATTTCTAAAATTACTTTTAAAAAATCACCACAAACACATCCTTAGGGGCCTATTTTTCTTATTAAATTTGGAGTATTAATATTAACCGTTAGATTAACTTTAAAGTATAATTTAAATAGATCTCAACCACGAATAACAAGTCATTTTATTTATCTTTTGATATTTGAATTGTAAGTTACTTTATTATATAGATATAAACACACGTGCATGACATGCATATATGTTAAGAGACACATGCACATCACTGCATTTATTTTTATTATTCATATTATAATCATACATAATTAACAAGTGAATCTCCATGTCTTAAAAAAAAAATCCTAATGTCAGANTAAACACACGTGCATGACATGCATATATGTTAAGAGACACATGCACATCACTGCATATATTTTTATTATTCATATTATAATCATACATAATTAACAAGTGAATCTCCATGTCTTAAAAAAAAATCCTAATGTCAAATTAGTGAATGAAAAATGAAAATCAACCCATAACTTAGTTAGCTATAGAATGACTANAACCCAACATCTAAGTCAAGATCCCACTCCACAGGTCCATGGGATGTTTCCATTGTTACGGAATGCTCGTACTTAAATCATACTAGTTTCCAGATGATAAAGGAATGGAATGGCCAATCCTACAGGAGAAATTAATGATGCAGGCTCGACGTTCATTCTTCCATTATAGCAGTTATTCGAATTAAGTGGGTCAACTGGTAATGTCCTCCGACTGGCAAACTCAAATTGATTGCTGCTGTCTGCGCTTCATCTGGACTGCTGTTCAGCCACTGTAGCTGTTTCAGCTGGATTCTCAGCAGTCTGCCTTCATCTGCTTCAACTGCTTCAGATGGACTCCTTTTTGCTGCAGCTGGAACTGCTTTTCTGTTTCAGCCGGATTCACATAGCTAGAGTAGCTCAGCAGTCTGATTGGTTCTCCTTCAGTTGGGTTCTCGGCAGGCATCAATGCAGACAGCAGCTTTCATTGCACTGTTCACGTCACAGGTCAGCTGGACTGTTCAGCTGGAGCTCTTTCCTTCAACTAGAATCCTGCATAAGTTTTATTTCGGTAGGAGTCCGTCAGCTGGTGTCTTAACACTCCAGCTGATCTTCTCCTTCAGTTGGAGTTTGCTACATCCTTATTGGCTGCCAACTTCAGCTGATCAACTACTGCACCGCCCAGCTCTTTCAATTCAGCTGATCTCTTATTTAACTGGCCTATCCTCTATCAGCTGATCTCTTAGGAATTTAAAAGGCTACATGTTTAGGATAATTTATTTTTTATTTATTCATTGTACTAATCATGCATTTTTGCTTTTCTTTACTTATTTTATGTAATTAGATTGCATCGAGGGGTAAGGTACATACGTCTCCCTGATTAGGTGTTATTTAATTTTTTTATTGAAGGGTATATTTGTAATTGTGATACAAATAAATACTTTTTTAATTGAGCATCCAAACATAATTTTTGTAAAATTATTTTTATTTAAGTACTTTTTTTAATGAGCATCCAAACGATGCTTATGGAAAAAAGTATTTTTTAATTAAGTGTTTTTTAAAAAGTAATTATTTAAGAAGTACTTTTGAATTTAATAAGTCATCCCAAACACTGCCTTAAATAATTCACAGAACATGGTACATTCCAATTCCAAATTTAAAAAAAAACAAAATGACCCAATATTATACATGGCGTTAGGTTTAGCATAACTTCGATTAAATTGACTACTTAACAACTGAATGCTTTTTTTTTATGCTGTACTAGTTTCTTTATATTTTGTGACTTTGCATCAAATATCCACAACGATGATTGAACAAAAAAGTTTATAGATGTGCTTTTAATTTTACTCATGCTCAAAGATATAATTATTTGACATTCAAATGAACTGACGCACAAGCAGGCAAAATCTATTTTACCCCCTTGTGGTTTAGAGTTCTAGCTCTTTACCCCATTATGGCTTAAAAATACCCACAAGTGGTTTTAGACTAAAGTGCTACCCTTACAAATGGTGTTCAAATTGACGAGAGCTGTGATACATGCACTTAAATGGAGAGTTGAATTATGAAAAATTTCAGTCAAAGACAACTGTCAATGAAAAAGGGTAAATATGCCCTTGTTTACCTTCTCACCGCCTATTTCATCTTCTTTGCCCACCTACCCGGCCTCCCACTCTCCCCCTTCACTGCCCAACAAAAACCCCCACCACCATGGCCACTACCACGACAGCCGCAGCTACATTGAGCCAATAAATCACCATCCATAGCACCCCTACAACTCTACTTGTCGTCACACCAGCCATGCAGCACCCACGCAACACCCCTCACCATAACTTATCCACTCCAGCCCACTCTCCTCCCTCCCTGCCCAACAGAAACCTCAACCACCATGGCCACTACCATGACAGCTGCAACTACATTGAGCCAATAAATCACCATCCATAGCACCCCTACAACACTACTCATCATCACACTAGCCATGCGGCACCCACGCAACATCCCTCACCATCACTTATCCACTCCAGCGTCACCCAACCACCAAAAGCACCAGACCCAACACCACAATCACCCTCACATCAACCATCACATTCACCTTTCCTTTGCCTTGCAACACCCAATCACCTTCCATCATTGTTCCACCCCACAACACCAATGCACTACCATCCACTTTTGCTCCATCGCAACCACGCATCACCCATATATCCTACAACCCCCAAAACAACCACCACACCCATCAATGCCTATATAGAGCTAATCCAGTACCAATGAGAAATCTTCACAGAAATTAATTCATGAATTTGGGAGTTTGGAACAGATATTGTTGAATATATCTAAAAGGAAGGATTAAGAGTGGGAGCTTCAACTGACAAAATAGTTCAGTATATATGTACAAGGGCAAAAAAGTCACTTTACATTTTCTATTAACCAATTCAACTGTTCACATTAGTCCAAAGCCATATGTTGGGTACGAGGTCATTTTAGAACACAAGGGGCAAAGTGCTAGAACTCGAAACAATGGGGGTAAAATGAATTTTGCATAAGATAGACATAATTTTCTAGTGACAAACCTTGCATGTTTATACAAAAGCTACCACTACTGAGATAGTCTCCCAACAAGTATACAAATTGAATATAATCAGACTTGCCTCCAGTAGTCACATAGGCAACAGTTCCAGGAGTTATGGTCACACCAACTCCATCATTTCCGGCTCTGGATTCAACAATAATGGGATATTCACCATGCCCATCTAAGGCAACTACAGCATAGCCATCCTGCAAATATATAACCGTAAAATGTCAGGAATTTTTGAAGTCATAAACTCCCACCGAATCAAAGCATTTGAATTACCAAGCTAAGATAAACTTTTTTGTTATTTTTTCTTTATTAGTCTTTTGGACTTTTGTATAGGGGGTTGAGGGGAAAAGAGAAAAAGCATTTTGCCACAACCCGAAAAAGGGGACAAGAAAACTCTTTTGTTCCATATCCTAAGATCGGGCATTATCATCTAGTTTCTAGGTCAAGCAAGAATGGAGTTATGAATCTTCTTGCAAAAAGAGTATTAGAGAATTTCTTAATCTATACTACTTCTAAAAGTGGCTTAAGGAGAAAAACTTTTTAATTTTCTTATTTGCCCTTTAATAATTCTATAATGTCTACTTTATCCTTGTTTCAAGAGTTTTCATATATTTATTGGTTGCATTAATTTAATTAACAAATTCATTGTTTGCCTTTTGATTATCTTTTTTATAAATATAATAAATATGATCTAAATCTGATTTTAATTGACTACAATAATCTTAATAAAAAAAACTAATTCCTTAACCAATCTTCCTTGGCATGAAGTTATAAAGTGAACTTTAGATCATGTTATGAATGTAACCAAAAATCATCTCAATAGTTTTCAGGCACTAAAGCTACTCTGTAACTATTTGAACTTTTGTTATTCCAACACTAATTATTGACATCATTAGATGCATTAAATATATAAACAAAATTGTTAAATCAAACTCTATGTACAAACCCCACCTAATATGCCTCTTCATTTTCCTATTTTCTTGTGCACTACTCAACCAACTGATAAGCTATATTTTCTCTCTCTTCCTTTCTTTTATTTCGTCTTCTCCTTTGTTCTTGTTCTTGTTCTTGCTACAAAGCACACGGCCCCTATTCTCTTCTCCCCGTCAACATTGTTAACATCCATGATCCACCGATCATTTTATCAATTAAGTTTTTTTAGTCTCTTTCTTCTACTATGTTTTTCTTCCTCTGGGTTATAAATAACAAATCTCCACTGGCATTGAGATTCAACCGCTAATATTTTTAGTTATTATCGAATGACTTTTTAATTGAACGACTAATTGCTTTGAGGTTTGTTATAATGACTTCTGACATTCTAACCATCTTGATTTTATTTATGTATTTTCTTTGAGGTTCTTGAACATTTTTTTGCTATTCTTGGTCTTTCCTGTTCTCAAATATTTAGCAATCGATGGTTGATAACACAAACTTTTGCAAGGCACTTATAGTATGGTAAGGAACCATAATTCTGTAGTAGTCTTTGTACATTTAGAAGCCTTTTATCTAAAATTTCTTATGCTATCCTGTTGTGTAGTTTTTCGTGTGTACAGTGTAATATGGTGTGGGGTGTTTGCAGTCAAGCAATGTTGCCATCACAAGTGGTTGCTTCAAATGTTGCATTATTGGACCACAATGACTATCAAACCCAGGATTATTTGATTTTCTTTTGTTTTAAACTAAAAACCATAAATTGCTTCATGAACTCATTTATTAGTTTATGTTTAGGTTAAATATCAAAGAGTTTTATAGGTTATTATTCATGTTGTACTTCATTTTAGTATTTTTTTTTTTTTGGCTATAGGTTATCCATTTGGTTACAAGATATACTATTTGTTTTCAATACACAATTTAGGCTGTAAAAAATACTGAGCTTAATTTGATTGACAGTTTAATTATTTTCAATTTAAAAAACTTCCTACTCCCTCTCTCTCTCCTCCCCCCCCCCCTTTTTTCATTCTTCATGATTGGCTGCATTTTCATTGAAAATCATATACACACTCATTTGAGTATAATATAGAGGACTTCGGGAATTATAAGTTGTCTAGTATTCTAAGACACTAGGTTTGGCATTGATTTTTTCCTCTTTTTTTTAATCCAACTCATCAAAGTCGTCTGCTTTGATTGTAGTGTGTGTCAGGATGCTAGATTGCAAATAAAATTTAGGAAAAAATCCAAGGAAAATACAGCTTCATATTTGTTACTTGTTTAACATAATGTATGAAAAAACAAGGCAACCACAAAAATCTTCATATTTTATCATAAAACATGTGGTCTTTAACACCTAATATTACACTTATTTCGACGAGGATATGTACTCTGGCAACAATAGAATGAGAAGATGGCGAAATTGTGGAACACAAACCATTTAGATGTGATAGACTCGCAGGAGTTGGTACTGCTAATATGGGCCAGGATATAAGGCTCATTCCATTGTTTAATCGTCAATGTTTACTTAGGTGCAATATATAATATATTTTAAAATGGTTCACGTGCAACGCACGTATGCACCAACTAGACCAAAATGTCAAGAAAAGTGAACAACATTTGTTAGACCAAAATAACCTTAACAAACTAACTAATGTCTATCCTACTTTTCTGTAATTAATAACATTGTTACATCATAATTATTTTATAGTTGGCTACTATTTAAGTTTTAGATAAATAATCTTGACTATTGGGTTACTAGCATTTAAATATCATAATATTAAAGTTATATTACAATAGTTGTTGGCTTGGTTTTATTGTGTATCTAAACCCCTCTTTAACAAATATAAAAATAAAATTATAATTCAAAATGTCCCATGTGCAACTCACATGTGCAACAACTAGTACAATTAAAATCAAATTGGGTAGTGACCTGCATTGCACCCTAAGAACAACGAATATAAAAATTCATAGCGCATGATTGCTGATACAATTTTCACAATTCATGAGCACGCCATCCATGCCAAGCACGACATAGGCAAGAACACGATCTATTGAAGTCAAACTTTATTCTACACAACTTTGTGGGTCGCCAATTGCCACTTTAATGCTAGCGACAATCCACATTGCCATTTCCAACTCTTGGGCCAAAAATAATCATCTGCTAATCCGATGAATCAAAGCACCGTGTCCCTGTGCACTTTCTCCTTTCCCCCACCTACCATTTCTTGCATCATCGTCCCGGCTGAAAATTCAAAAAATCCAACAAATGCCCCATATTGTATTTTGTAGTGCTATCTCTCTCCTCCTCTCCTCTCAGCCCTGCATTATCTTCCCCTATTCTACCCACAAACAATCAAGGATTCCATCCAGTCAGCCAATTCAACTAAGAAAATCCCCCCAAGTTTTCATGAAACAGAATAATTGTGAAGCAGTTGAATATTTACTAAGCTCTTCATGAAAAAACATCCAAAAAATTTAAGAAAACAACAACACATCCCCTGATTTTAATTAGTGAAGCACTGAAGCATCCCAAACACTTCCACAATATGATACTCATATTGTTGTTTCACGAACCATGCATATTCCATCCGTATTCACCAATATTCTCAATAAGTACTAAAACTAAACATACTGGATTAAAATAGCTCAAATAACACATAAGCAATAATTGAGTATTATTCTATTAATAAGTGTGTATCTACCACATATAAAAGACAATCAATTTCGTAGGAATAGGGATTGACAAACCATCCTTTCGTAATTTCTAATTACTTATAATTTAATTAAAGGTTTCCTCCCATCACACTCTATCAAATGTCTCTTGTAACCACCTTTCCCCTGCCCCCCCCCCCCCTCAATTAACTATGCCCCACTTATTTCAATGTATTAAAAAAAAAAACCAGCTCTAATCACCCTAAAACGTTATATAGTTCTCTAATTTACTAAGTGACTGGGGTAAAAAGAGGGAAAATGAGGAAGGAAAACAGAAAAGGAGAAGATGGTTTGTATATCTTGTGCATCAAATTGGTCCCGGCTGCATTCTTACAAAGAAGAATCAAACTAGGAATAGAGGTTTTGGAAGTTTTCACTCCCTATTTTCTAATTTCCTACAATTTTGACTCATTTAATAAGTTATCCCAATCAAATTTCCTCTGAGTTACATAACCATTCCCACCATCACTGTCCATTTAACAACTCATCAACCCATTAAATGATATTTTTAAATGATAAAGGGGTGGGATGAAGATTTAATGGGTGGTTTACTATATAATGTCGAAAAGACAGGGTGGGAGGGTGATTCTGTATAACCGTACCTAAGTAGAAATATATACACGTAATATAAGTAGAGGTAGATAGAGAATGAGAAAGACCTTGACTGAAGCAGGGTAAGGAGGAAGAGGGTCAGGGGCTCTAATGTCCTCGGCCAAGATCTTGCCTAGAGCTTCGTGAAGTGGCAAAGTCACTGGTGGCAGACGCTGAGCCACTCTCAACACTATATCGAGAGCTTCCTCCGCCGAAATCATCGTCTGCTCTGGTTTCCTTACACAATGTTCATCCATTTCAACGCAGGGCACCACCGAGTATGTGTTCAACGCCTATGTGTGTGGCCGAATGAGAATAAAGAGACTGGATAGGCATGCGAATATGAGTAAGTGAAACACTGGTCGGCAAATTATTTGGACTTATTGACGACGACACAATTTTCCTCTTCTTTTTTTTTAATCACTTTTTTTCTTTTATTTTTGGCTTTCCTTTATTTATTTATTTTTCAATAATAGTATTTAGGATTATTTGCATTGAACGTCTCCGAATTATAGAATTTTTCTTATTTTAATCTTTAATATTTTAATTGTATCATTTTAGTTCTTAAAATATTAAATATATTCATATGTGGTCCTTCAAAATGACAATATCTAAATTACTAACGATTTTTAATCATAAATTTATCGCATGATACATAAATATGGTTAATAAATAATTTATGTAGCTCTTAACAAAAAATGTGTAATATAGGTGGCTATTGACCAAAATTTGAATTAATTTATAACCAAACTTGTATAATTTGAATAACTCTTTGACTAAAATTTGGTCAAGTGTTATCCAAATTATTTTTTTCCTCATATTTAAATATTACGTGATAAGTTCATAATCAAAAACAGTTAGCAATTTAAATGTTATCTGTTTGGGGGACCATATAGAAATATATTCAATATTTAAGTGATCAAGATAATACAATTGAAATATTATGGACCAAATTAAGTCAAACCCTATATTTTGGGAACCTCTTGTGTAATTAACCCTAGTGTTTAATTGTATTGGGTAAATATGGTAATGTTGTGTGAAATGTGTGTCTTATATCTTTACTATCGGTAATCTCGTACGATGCATAGAATTTATAATATCTCATGATCACCGCTTCTACTTCTACTCTTATCGTTAGATCTGCTTTAATTTTATTCCAATATTAATATACTAAATTGATGTTTTAAGAAAATTAAAACCTACTAGTTAATAAAAAATTTAAATGTGAGATAGTTATCTAAAAAATTAGAAGTAGTTATATAAATCGCATGAAAGTAATTCAATTGGAGTATACATATGTGTGACTGTTGAATAATTCTAAATTAGGAGAAAGTAGGATTTATGGAGGAATTTTTTTTTAATTATTTTCTCTGCTCAATTTTTTAGTTTTCAATTATGATAACCATTAGTCTACCAAGTTTTCAGTGGATGATATACATGATCACTTTCATTAAACCATTTAAAGGGTTACGTAAGTTGGAAAATATTGAGCGCACACTTTTTAATAACACTACTTAAGGGTTAAAACTGAATAATTTAAGCACTTAATAAATTAAACTCATTTGATAACATAAAATTTATACTACTTAATATTTAAAGCACTTCTTAAAAATAAACTAAAATTTTAAATAGCAAACCACCTACTTCTCACTTAATTCTGAAAATGTTGGTCAATATTATTAATTTCTCATAATGGACAAATATATTCTCACCATCATTGTGTCATCGCCACCACCACCAACACTATCACCACAACCACCACTGGTGTACCACCGTCACCACCACTATTAAGTCGTCGTCATCACCACTATCACTATCGTTGTTGCCACTACTATCATTGTGCCACCGCCACCATCACCACCATTGTCACCACTACCAATATTACTACCACCACAATCGTTGCCGCCATGACTACCATTGTGCCACCGCCATCACCACCACCATCATCGTCACTATTATTGTGTAATTGTCATCATCATTACCATTATATCATCGCCCCCACCACCATTATATAATCACTACCACCACTACCATTGTCGTCACTGCCACCACCACCATTGTGTCACAACCACTACCACTATCATTGTGTCACCGACACCACCACTATAGTGTTTCCACCACTACCGCCATTACTGCCATCACCACCACCATTATTGTCGTCACCACTACCACTGAAATAAGATAGAAACAAGATAGTTGCAGAGAAATGGTTATATAGAAGGATAAAATTAGAATAATAATAATTTTTAGACTATAGCGTCTTATATTTGTCAAAGAGTTTGATTAATTTTAATACTTAAATTTCAATTGATACCAAACAGTCTGCGAATTAAAAAATTCAGCATTCGGCACTTAAAATTCAGCATTCAATTTTCAGTATTCAGTTTTCAATTTTATCAAACACCACCTAAGACTTTAAAAACTAATTTTGATTCAAATAAGTTGAAGCCATAATTATAAAGCTTAAGAGAGAGGGGGTCGATAATTTCGTGACCTTGACAATTGTGCAACTAGTTTGGTGGTTGTATTAATGATATGCATTATAACACCAAGTTTTTAAAATTTAAAATAAATTAATGATTTTTTTATTGATTAAAACTATGAAATATATTATATCTATACTACTAATAAAAGTACCTTAATATGAAAAAAATTTGAATTTCTAGTTTACCCTTATAAAAAATTGTAAAGACTACTCTATCATTTTTCAATTAAATATCTAAATTATCACCATATCCTTATGTATTTAAATCTTCAAATTATCTCTAACATCTTTTTTAATTATCTATTCTCTATATATAAATATCAATTTCTATAAAACTTTTGACTGACTATATTACGCTCACAAAAATATGCATTATTATATTTTCAATAAAGTGTTTAAAAAACCTTTAAAAATTATATTAATCTAATATAATTCATCTCATATGCAAAGATAATATTGTGCTTACATATGTATAGTTTTCATTTTCATCGAAAAGTTTAACCCTTTCATTTGTAAGATAAAAATAATCGAATATATAATTTTTTTAAATCAATTTATGTTACATCAGTATAATTATTCAATCACAATAAAATTTCTAAATTGTATTAAAATTTTATGTGAAAATAGATATTGTAGTGTATTTTTAAGTAAAACTGAATTTTTTAGAATTTTAATATTGTAGAATTTGAAATTTTTTTTAGAATTCTCAAACATAAAAAGAAAAAAAAATCTCAATCACAAATTTCTAAAAAAAATAGAATTTTAACTATTCATTTTTTCTTATAGTTAGAAGAAATAATTTTGGGAACATATATGTTTTTATAAACCTATAATAGAATATGATCAATGAAAAATTAAGTTTGATAAATTTGAAATGATACTTAATTCAAATTCATATTTTATTAATTTTTGTGTACGACAATTATTCAGGTGTAACGCACATGGTGCATTACTAATATATATATATATATATTTGTCAGTCCCTTTTTCTTTTCTTTTTTTATTGCAAAGGGTTACTGTTTGTTTCTATTAATTTTAAACAAACTATTCTGCAAACCCATATCACCAAAAAAAAAAAAAATAACAAGAAGAACCAGTATGCCATGTAAAAGTGGAACATATAAGTATACCAAGTAGATATATTTAGGATAAATTTTATAAAAATGACCTCGAACTATGACATTTGTTGTAAATCATTGTCTAAACTTTCAAATTGCTCCTAAATTATATAATTTATTTTAATCAATCATACTTTCATTAAGGTTGCGTTTGGTAACCCATTGTTTTTATTTTCAATTTTTGTTAAAATTAAAAACAATAATACGTTTGGTTCATATTTTTTTTAGTCAAGTTGTTTTGACTCGAGGACTTTTAATGGGGTCCAGTCTTCGAAGCAAAAAATAGGACATTAGTGACACATATATAAAGCAAAATAAAGTCTCCCTCCCCTTTTCTCTCTCTCTCTCTCCCTCGGATCTATGATTGTGGGTGAAGCTCTCTCCGACGAAGCCCTGAGGGGCTATGGTGGACTGGTGTTGGTAGTGGGTTTTAAGGGTGGTGGTGTTGGATTTTGGGGGCAGGTGGTGGGTTTTCGGGGCTAGTGGTGGTGGGTTGCATGGTGGGTTTTTCAGGGGCCTAGTGGTGGTGAGTTTCGGGGGCTAATGGTGGGTTTTCAATGGTCGGCAGTGGTGGGTTTTGGGTATTGGTGATGGGTTTTTAGGGGTGGATGGTAGTGGGTTTTGGGGGTTGGTGATAGTGGGTATCGGTGGGGTTAGGTGGTTTGTGATGATGGGTATCGGTAGGGTTGGGTGGTTGGTGATGGTGGGTATCAGTGGGATTTGGGTAATGGGTGATTTTCGGTGGTAATAGTTGGTGTATCCCCAATTGTATTTTAAAGAGTTACTTATTTGGGATTAACAAATTAACCAAAATAGTCATAATATCACATGCTTTATATTTTCAATTTTTATCATAGAAAAAACAAAAACTAATTCTATTTTTCTTTTAAAAAAAACATAAATAAAAATGTTACCAAACGCACCCTAGGATACAAATTTTTGTTAAGATTAACTGTTACATGAGATAAATTATGTTAAAATCAATCATTGATTTATCTCATTTAACGGTTAATTTTAACTAAAGTAATTGATTGAAACAAATTATATAGCTCAAGGATAAATTGTAACAATTTAAAGTTTAAGAGATAATTTAAAATAAATGTGATAGTTTAGGAGTATTTATGAGATTTATCAAGCAAAGGTGGAAAGTGAATGATCTAAATTTGANAGTAATTGATTGAAACAAATTATATAGCTCAAGGAAAATTGTAACAATTTAAAGTTTAAGAGATAATTTAAAATAAATGTGATAGTTTAGGAGTATTTATGAGATTTATCAAGCAAAGGTGGAAAGTGAATGATCTAAATTTGAAATAATTTGGGTACTGGTATTTGATAAAACTAAATGCTGAATTTTAAGTGTTGAATAATGAATTTTTTAATTCGCAAACTATATGGTATCTATTGAAATTTATGTATTAAATTGAATTAAACTGTTTGAAAAATATAAGAAGTTGATCTGAAAATTATTTGTTAGATTATGTTTTGTAATTGGATAATTTCGTGGAGTCCATTGTAAAATCTCAACCATTTTATGGTCATGATGCTATTAAGTTCAAGATTACAGAGTGACATTAAAGGGAAGAAATCAAGCGTCAAAGGTATATCATTCAACCTCCGTATACACTTTCATGTTTAGGACAAATATAATGACTTAGACACCTAAAATTAATCCTTAGTTATTTTAACTTATGATGATTATGATGAAAATGGAATTGGAAGTGATTCGATTATGACTCCTAGGTAATTTTTAAAGAAAAGTTTTTATAAACTAATTTTGTGTTTTCAAAATATAGTTTGAATTACAATCAAACTCATCTTTAAGTAACACCCTTTACAACTCAAGAGGACAAGTTTTTATATGGTTGTAGGCTTCAAAAACCTATAGGGATCACCTTATACTCGCTAGCATTTGCTAAAGTAGTCTTTTGATGATTTATGATAAAAACAAAAAAAAAGACACGGGAGATCAACATAGAGCTCACTCGAGTGGTCTCCATAGGCGCCCATACAATCCTTATGCTCGCTCAAGCAGTTATGATCCTTGGCTGGTTTGAGACGTTGTTTTTCACTCTAGTGCCAACTGCCCTTCCATTGAACAAACAATCGTTCGTGAATCTGAATTTTCTTATTTACTAAGACTGCCATTATTTCAAATCAATAAATAGGGAGAGCCTTTTCCACATTTAGGTCAAGCCTTGAGAGTGTATTTTGAAGAGAGAAATCTATCTTTTAACATTGAGAGCTTCCACCACAATCTAGATTCCTAAGATCCAAATGCTACCACTAATGATTCTTTCCATCATCATAACTTGGAGTAGAAGAGCTTGTTGGTGAACAAAACCAATTGGTATGTGCATATCGAGGATTGTTAGAATGCTCATAATCACTCGAGGCTTAGACAAACCGTGCGCTAGGGAGGTCCAAGTGAAACTAAACTAGACATCAAAGAGGGAGTTTTGTCGATGAAACATAATAAGGAAAAGAGCATCTAATCGTAGGTATTGGTCCATGTATAAGACTAAAGTTCTTGTACTTTGACTTGACACGTAGTAGATTAGGCTTGGGGAACCTTGAGTGGTTTCCTGCGGTTTTCCTCAATGAAGGTTTTTCGCATCAATAAATTACTTGTGCCTCTTATTGTTTATTGTTTACACTTGCATTTATTTGTATACATGTACACTATGTATTTATTCGCTCAAGTAAAATCATATTGAATCTTCTTACTAAGCCAATCCACCGCAACTACCTTATTCCTATTACCACTATCACAATGGTGGTGGTGATGGTGGTAGTGGTAGTGGCACAATGATGGTGATGGTGGCAGCATAATAGTGGCAGTGATGGTGGCCACACAATGGTGGTAGTGGTGATGGTGTGGTGGCAGTGACACAATAGTGGTGAAGTTGGTAACAATGATATTGTCACAATTGTAGTGGTGATGGCGGCAGCGATGGCGAGGACAGTGGCACTGGCACAATGGTGATGGTAACGACGGCGACACAATGTTGATGATGATGGTAACAGTGGCGACAGTGGTAGTGACGATGACACAATAGTGATGGTGGTGGCGACGACGACGACGACGGAACAGTGGTGGAGGAGGGAGGGTATTGAAAAGTTAAGAATGTAAAATATATTGAGGGTATATTTGTCAATTATGAGGAATTTTTAAAATCTTTTCTGTCTAACATCTGCAACATTAAGTGTTAAGTAGGCGACTTGCTATTACAAATTTTAACATATTTTTAAGAAGTGCTTAAAATATTAAATGGTATAAGTCTTAAGTTATCAAAACTTTTAATTCATTAAATGTTTAAAATATTCAATTTTAAGTCTTAAGTGATATTATATAGGGTGTTTGACGATATTACTTAAGACTTAAAACTGAATACTTTAAGCACTTTAATGAATTAAACTCGTTTGATAATCTAAAACTCATGTCAGTTAATATTTTAAGTATTTCTTAAAAATAGGCTAAATTTTTTAGTAACAAGTCATATACTTATCACTTAACGCTGAAAATGTTATTCAGTAAGGATTTTATCAATTCCTCATAATGGATAAATATACCCTTAATACATTTTACACTCTTAACTTTTCAATATCCACCATCCACCATCCACCATCACCATCATTGTGTTGTCGTCGCCGCCGCCACCATTATATCATCGTTACCACCATCACTATTATTACCACTATTATTGCCACTACCACCATTGTGCCACCGCCACCACGATCATCATTGTGTCACCGCCACCACTACTATTATGTCACCTCCATCAGTGTGTCGTCGTCATATCACTACCGTTGTGTCGCCATCACTACTACCACTATGCCACTACCACCACTGCTACCATTATCACAACCACCATTGCCACCATTATGACACCACAATCATTGTGTTGTCACCATTACCACTACTATTTTATCACTGCCAACACCACCATCACCGTCACCACTAATAATTTTTAGACTTCAATTCCTTATATTTGTCAAACAGTTTGATTCAATAATTAAAAATTCAGTTGATACTAAACAGTTTACAAATTAAAAAATTAAGTATTCAACACTTAAAATTCAGTATTCAGTTTTATTAAACACCACCTAAAACAACTCTTCAGTATTATTTAGGATCTCATTCTTCTTTTCTTGTTATCATTTTCATTTCCTAATGATGTTTCTTTAGAGCTTGTTTGATTAAGGAGAAAAAAATGATGAAAAGTGAAAATAATAACAAGTAAAGTGAAAAAAAAATGAAAATAAAAAAATATATATTTTCATGCAGTTAGCATAAAAATCTTGACAGAAAATTTTAAAAAAATTTCATTATATTGTTTGAAAAAAAGTAAAATTACAAGAAAATTTTTATAATTGTCTAAATTATCCTTAATTATATTAAATTGGTCTTAAGAAGAAAAAAATATTTATTATAATTAAAAGTTAATTTTTTTTACAAAAGTGGCTCATAACCTAATTTTGAGATGAGTATCAGCACGAGACCTGACAATTTTAGACACAACTCGTGAAGTTGACATGAACTAGACATGGATTTAACGGGTTTGAGTGTAGTCTTAACTAGTTCGAGTGATTAATGAGTTAACTCGACAGACCTTTGAAATAAAAAAGCCGATTTCGTGTTTAACCCATAAATTTGTTTCAACCCGTTAGTAGCGGTACTATAATTTTTTTTTTTTTAAAGTTAGGTCTCTCAACCTCAGCCTCATCTCACACCTCTTATTTCTTAGAATCATTCAAATTTAGTAGTCATTAATGTTTATTTTTTGTCTTTATTTTTTTCCTCAGCCATGATTTATTGTTATAATAAACAGGTCAATCATGTATAATGTGTGATGAGTTGATGATTTTTCATGTGGACTTGAAATACTCTAATCTATTATCTAATTTAGCGAGTGACACACGAATTGTATTGGTTAACCTGCCTAATAAACGATTCGTGTATTGATGTGATAGTTGGACTCATTTGTATAAACGAATGAGGTATGGATGAAGAATTTTTTGACACAAACCCATTCCACACGACACAAAATTGTTTCACTCGATATAATTGCCAGGCTTAGCACGAAGGTCTCTAGGTCAAATTATATAGTTAACTAATTTCATATCAAGATCTTTTAAAATTAATAACTAATAAAATATTTTAAAAAATAAGAACAAAATAAGAAATTAGTAACTAATAAAATATTAAAAAAAATAAGAATAAAATAAGAAATTAGTAATAAATCACAAATTTATTATGTTTATTTGTGTTTTTTATAAAAAAAAATTAGTTAGCTGTGAGAAATTCTAAGTATGAAAATAAATTATGTTTTAAATAATTTTCCATTTCATATTAATCAATCCCATAAAAATTTTAAATTTTTTTTTTACCATTGTTTCGCTAAAAAAAAAAGGGCCCCTTTATAAAGCGTAAGTACGAAACACCCACTGTATTGCCGGCTGTTCAAGTCCTTTGCACAAACCCCAAATCGCATTTTTCAGAGAGAGAAAGAAAACCCTAGCTCTCCCTCTCTCCTGCTCTCAGCCCCACGTCATCTTCCCCATTTCTACCCCCAAACATCCCTAGAATTCCTCCCATATCCCCAAACTTAGCCAATTCAGCCCTGAAATCCCCTAATTTCCATGAAATTCACCCCTTCTTAACCCCAAAATTCTTCACAATGTCGGACACGGCCACACCGGATAAAAACTCCCTGGTCTTACCGACGAGCTCGAAGTCGGTGACGGAGACGGTGAATGGATCCCATCGGTTTGTAATCCAAGGCTACAGCTTAGCAAAGGGCATGGGAATCGGAAAACACATAGCCAGCGAGAATTTCACCATCGGAGGCTACCAATGGGCGATTTATTTCTACCCTGACGGTAAGAACCCGGAGGATAATTCGACGTACGTGTCGGTTTTCATTGCGCTTGCCAGTGAAGGTACGGATGTCAGGGCGTTATTTGAGCTGACTTTGGTGGATCAGAGTGGGAAAGGCAAGCATAAGGTCCATAGCCATTTCGACCGTTCCTTGGAGAGCGGGCCTTACACGCTGAAGTACCGTGGTAGCATGTGGTAAAAGTTAATTTAAGTTTGTGTTTAGGTTACTTTTTGGGGTGCATTTGTTTTCGTGTTTCTACTGTATTGGAAATGTTCTGAATTGTGACTGTTGATGTAATTAGGGCATTTTTTATGAACATATATATAGGTAATTTTTACTGAGAATTAGAGATTTGGTGGGTGCAGTTGTAAGAGTATTGGAGTAATCATTGTGAGGTTGTGGGTTCAAATGTGAAGTACCTATTTTGAAGTGATGCTTCAGATTAGATCTCTATCCAGTCTACTACTCTAGCATTTGTTAGTTACTGAGGATCAAACTAGACAATGTGGACCAAGCTAGATGGCAACCATTACGGTGGGGAGATTTGAATTTGGGTGTTAAGGTAGAAGCCAGGGTGTTGGAAGGATAAATACTCGACACCAATCTGAACTTAGTTGTGGATTAATGGTTCATATGTTATGGTTGTTTATCAGAGTATAAGATGGTTAATAAATAGGTTGTGTTAGGGTTGGATTGCATAACATGATTAACTAAATAGGGCCTGTTAGGATTGGTGAATACTCGATATGAATTTGAAATGATACAAATCTACTCAATTGCCACCCTAAGACTAATTATTAATAGTGTTACCAGAAAACGCTCAGGACTCTACGACCCTCGATTTGGGTTGGACGACCCCAAACAGGGGACATTCGCGACATGGATTGCCCTTTACTCCGACCCTCACTTTCAATCCTATCCCTAAATAAAAAAGACAGACTCCCAATGAAAACTCTAACCCAGAAGTAAACACCAAACTCCTCGCCTATCAATTGTTANTTCCCCAAATAAAAAAGACAGACTCCCAATGAAAACTCTAACCCAAAAGTAAACACCAAACTCCTCGCCTCTCAATTGTTAGTTTGATTCTTTCGATAGGTTCTCCTTTTATATGAAGAAGGAAAAGAACAATGAATTGTAACGGTTAACACACTTTCACATTGGTGGAAAGCACGACAAAGCCTCTACAATGAAAGCTAACTTTTCCATGTTCAATTATGTGTAAACCCTTATTCCAATTTTCGAAGGTGAGAATTATAAGTATTGGAGTATCCAATCGAAGACTTTATTTATCTCACAAGACTTATGGGATATAGTTGAAGTTGGATTTGAAGCACCAACCAATGACGAATAATTAGCAACATGGCAAGATGCAAATAAGAAGAAATATAAGGAGATCAAAAGGAAAGATGCAGAGACACTTCTTAATATTCAATGAGGGGTTAGCAAATATATTTTTTCAAGAATTTTGGGTGCAAAAAATTAAAGGAAGCATAAGAGATATTAAAGATCGAATGTCAAAGATTTGATAAGGTAATTTCTATCAAACTTCAAACTTTATGGGAATATGTTGATAACCTAGCGATGAAGGAAATTTAATCAACATAAGAATTCTTTTCCCAAGTTGTTAGTATTGTTAATCAAATCAGAAGTTATGGAGACACCCCTCAGACAAAAAGATTGTTGAAAAAGTCCTATGGAGTTTACTAGCAAGATTCGAGCATATCGTTGCAATAATCAAGGAAGCTAAGGATTTGTCAAAATTGACTCGATACGAGTTGATGAGTTCTTTGGAAGCACACGAGAAAAGGATAAGCAGGTTTTCAAACTAGTTTCTGGAGCAAACATTTCAGGCCAAAGTCAACATAGAAGAATCTAGGAAGGCAGAAACTCGAAAATGGTGTAAGAAAATTAAGGAAGGGGCAGATTTCAAAAAGGAGGCCAATACAAAAGAGGTCATGGAAAGTAAAATTCATTTTAAGCCCGATGTAGAGGAAGATGCTACACCAATCAAAGGAATTTTGATGGTAATTCTGATTCTCAGTGTATTATTTGCAAAAGATTCAACCATATTGTCAAAGATAGCAGATTTAGATGCAAGAACTGCAAAGTATCAAATCACTCTCAATGTGATTGTTGGTTCAACTAGGATAAGGCAAATTTTTTAGAAGGAAAGGAAGGAGATACTATACTCTCTTGTATGAATATCTAACAAGAGTCAGAAAATATGTGGTATTTGGATAGCGGATGCAACAATCTTATAACCGGGAATTGAAAGATGTTTACGGAGTTGGGTGAAATTTTTTTCTAGCAAGTAAAGTTTGGCAATGGAGAGCTACAAAATGTTGAAGGGGAAGGAATTATTGTCTTCATTACAAAAGGAGGTAAACATAAAATTTGTTACCGATGTTCTTTATGTTCCTGGACTGACGTAGAATTTATTTAGCTTTGAGCAATTACTTTAGAAAGGATATGCAGTTAACTTTGATAATGGTGGTTGTATTATTTTTGATAAAAAGAATAATCAAAAGGTGGCAAAGGTTTACATGATACAAATAAAGTTTTTCATTTTGTTATGCAATTGGATGAAAATCTTGCATTTCAAGCTTCAAAGATCAATGATTCCTATTTACGGCATTTGAGATATGTGCACCTAAATTATAGAGGCCTAAGACTGTTGAAAGAAAAAGGTATGGTGCATGGTCTATCTTATATTGAAAGAATTGATTAAGTCTGCGAAGGGTACATTGGCTACCATTCCCAAAGATATCTTGGCGAGCTAAAGCATCACTGGAGTTAGTACATGTTGATATTTAAGGGCCGAGCAGAACACAATCAGTTATTCTATTTGTTGATAATTATACTCGCATGATGTGGCTTTATTTTCTTGAGCAAAAGTCAGAATCCTTCTCCAAAATTCTTGAGTTCAAAGCTATGGTAGAAAGACAATGTGGCATAAAATTGAAGGCATTCAGGATAGATCATGGTGGAGAATTCATATATACTCTATTCATGAATTATTGTAGGGGGAAAGGAATCATAATGCAACTTATAGTTCGACAATCACTCCAACAAAAATGGTAGAAAGGGAAAATCGCACCTATGTGGAAATGGCACGAAGCATGCTTAAAGGCAAATGACTTCCTAATAATTTATGGGATGAGATAGTTAACACAACATTCTATATTCTCAATTGATCTTGTACAAAGGTAGTNTTATAACCGGGAATTGAAAGATGTTTACGGAGTTGGGTGAAATTTTTTTCTAGCAAGTAAAGTTTGGCAATGGAGAGCTACAAAATGTTGAAGGGGAAGGAATTATTGTCTTCATTACAAAAGGAGGTAAACATAAAATTTGTTACCGATGTTCTTTATGTTCCTGGACTGACGTAGAATTTATTTAGCTTTGAGCAATTACTTTAGAAAGGATATGCAGTTAACTTTGATAATGGTGGTTGTATTATTTTTGATAAAAAGAATAATCAAAAGGTGGCAAAGGTTTACATGATACAAATAAAGTTTTTCATTTTGTTATGCAATTGGATGAAAATCTTGCATTTCAAGCTTCAAAGATCAATGATTCCTATTTACGGCATTTGAGATATGTGCACCTAAATTATAGAGGTCTAAGATTGTTGAAAGAAAAAGGTATGGTGCATGGTCTATCTTATATTGAAAGAATTGATTAAGTCTGCGAAGGATACATTGGCTACCATTCCCAAAGATATCTTGGCGAGCTAAAGCACCACTGGAGTTAGTACATGTTGATATTTAAGGGCCGAGCAGAACACAATCAGTTATTCTATTTGTTGATAATTATACTCGCATGATGTGGCTTTATTTTCTTGAGCAAAAGTCAGAATCCTTCTCCAAAATTCTTGAGTTCAAAGCTATGGTAGAAAGACAATGTGGCATAAAATTGAAGGCACTCAGGATAGATTGTGGTGGAGAATTCATATATACTCTATTCATGAATTATTGTAGGGGGAAAGGAATCATAATGCAACTTATAGTTCGACAATCACTCCAACAAAAATGGTAGAAAGGGAAAATCGCACCTATGTGGAAATGGCACGAAGCATGCTTAAAGGCAAATGACTTCCTAATAATTTATGGGATGAGATAGTTAACACAACATTCTATATTCTCAATTGATCTTGTACAAAGGTAGTTCTAAATAAGATACCTTATCTGGCTTGGTATCAGCAAAAGTCAATTGTGGATCGTCTTAAATTATTTGGATGTATTGTATATGCCTTAATCCCTTCACTGAAAAAGAAAAGTTTGATGGAAAGGGTGAGAAATATATATTTATCGGGTATAGTAGTGAGTCTAAAGGATATCGTCTATACAATTTAGACAAAAATAAGCTGGTAATTTCTTAGGATGCCATATTTGATAAGTTGGTAGCATGGCAATGGAAGGACAATTTAGTCCAAGATGTCAGAGAATTTCAATTTATCGAGCCTATAAGAGTGCAAGAATCTATAAGTCCATAACGGATATGTCAAGAAAAGAGGCCTCCAATATTTGCTTATTGTCAGCTTATATGGAGATGATTTAATCTACACCAGTACCAACCTAACAATGGTTGAAGAATTGAAAAACGCTATGATGAAAGTGTATGAAATGGCTGTTTTGGGTCTTCTGAGGTATTTTTTCAGCATTCAAGCGAGACAAAGCAAATGAGCAGTATTCATCTCTCAAGAAAAATATCTTGAGTAGGGGTGTTCAATTTTTTGATTAGCCGCAATTTCCTACCCTACTCGACCTTATCCTACTTTACCCTACCCTACTGAATGGGTAGTTGCAAAAATCGAGTAAGAATGCGGAAGAGTTTTTGGTCTTTCGATTAAATCGGATAGGAATGTGGAATACCCATCAATTTTCACATTTCTATCCTACCCTATCCTACCCTACCCACAAAAAATATATTTAACTTTTTAAAATTTTTTTTAGTAATTATAAAAGTATTTGTGTGGTATAATTTATATTATAACATTGTTATTGTTGTGAATGTTTGAGTTGCGAAAATATGTACTTATTTTTTGTATATGTTACATGATTTGTGGTGAACTGGTGATCTATTGAAGTAGTTATGGTTTTAATGTGTTTCATATGGTTTAAACTTAATATAATTGTTATTGTATTTGTATAACAATTATGATGGATTGATGTTCATGTTTTTTTATGTTATTGTAATTGTTGTTGTAGTTGTTTTAGGTTTTAGTGTTATTGATTTATTATGTTATTAAATTAGTGCATGTTATTTAATTGAATTGTTAAAATGATCCAAAAATTAATAGCTACAAAAGTGTTTATCCGATTTTCTACCCGATTAATCGGGTAGGAATATCACACCTGATTGGGTAGGGTAGGCCAAAAAAAAATTCTTCCGCAAAGTATCGGATAAGAAGACGGAAGACTATATTTCCTACCCGTAGGATAGGGTGAACACCCCTAATCTTGAGGGCTTGCTGAAAAGGTTCAACATGTTTAATTGCAAGTCAATATCTACTTCAATTGCCTTGAATGAAAAGCTACAACAAAATGATGGATCGGAGAAAATTGATACTACTATGTATTGGAGTTTGGCGGGTACACTCATTTATCTCACCAACACCAAGCCATATATTGTTTATTCAGTCAACCTTATTTCTTGATTTATGAATGATCCAAGCAAGCTACATTATACAGCTGCAAAACAGATCCTACGTTATCTACAAGGCACCTGAAAACTCGACATTAGCTAAGTCAAAGACAAGGAAAAGAAGTTGATTGGCTACACTGACAGTTATTGGGTAGGTTCACTTGATGATCCACTTGATGATCGCAAAAGCATGTTAGGTTGTTTATTTTGCATGGGTTCAAAAATTATCTTTTGGAGTTATAAAAAGCAGAAGACTATTGCATTATCATCAACCGAAGTTGAATATATTGCTGCGATGGATGCAGCATGTAGAGCAATATGACAAAAAAGAATTCTTTTAGATATGGAACAAAAAGAAGAAGCTCCAACTATAATTCTTTGCGATACTATGTCAGCAATTGCAATGAGCAAAAATCTAGTATTCCATAGTCAAACAAAGCATATTCAGCTGAGACATCATTTTATCACAGACTTGGTTCAAAAAGAAGAATTGCAACTTGATCTCGTCAACACAAAGGAGTAGACAATTTTACTAAACCCGTAACATTGGAGAGATTTTATCAATTTCATCGGTGTATAAAAATTACAAATTACGAGGTGGTGTTAAAAAGTAATTTCTAATTTTATATTAATCATCTTCTAGATTATTCGGCAATGGCAATTGGACAGATCTCTTGAAGCATCCAGACTTTTCTTGCTGAATAGAGAAGCTTAGCATTAAATACTTCCAGTCGGAGCAAAGTTGGCAATGCTTAGAAAGTTCAGGAATNTTAGCATTAAATACTTCCAGTCAGAGCAAAGTTGGCAATGCTTAGAAAGTTCAGGAATGGCAACTTGCACAAAGTCCTCAAGATGAAGGTCTCTGATCTTATGGTTGGATGACATACTTGAGGCGGCAGAGAAGACAGTGGTGGTTTAGCAGCATATATAAAGGGTTTAATGTATGCATAAGAGAGTGAGAGATATATATTATGTAAGAGAAAAGAGCTCCAGCAGGAGGAGAGCATTTGAGAGTTTCTATGAGTAATCAATACATACTTTAAAGCAATTTCAATTACACCCCTTTCCGTTTGAGCAATATCCACTATATATTCCTGTGTTTTCTTTGTTACACTTAGCACCCCAACAGCTTGATAATGGGCATAGGTCATAGGACTAGTTTTTGGGTGGGTCGGCGCTACCCTTTGCTGAATCTTATCTGTTACGTTTCGAGTCTATTAAATTATTACTATTGCCGTAAACAATCACTATTGTTATTTAAAATGTGTTCGGCTACCTAATACAAACTACTCTAAAAACTTAAATTTGTTAAAGGCTAAGATCAACAATAAATAGAATGGGCTCTTAACAGGAGTAGACGATGAGATGTTGTCAATGGTCAAGTGGCCTCTTTACTCCATCCCTGTGTGATGTTAGGATTTTGCTAGATTTTATGTTTTAGAGCAAATTGTGAATGTTCACTTTTTTCTTTTCAAAAATAAAAGTGAAAGCTCCAACATTAGGAGTGAATTACTTAAACCAGTGTAATGATAGAACTTGGAATCTTTCCACTGGCAGTTAGTTTTGTGGGTATAGTTAAGGAGATTATGTTTAACTTGTTAAATCACTGAAGGAAAGATGCTTGACTTGGGTGTGAAAAGGTTTTGGACTAGGTTTAGTTTGAAAGATGATGGGTGCAGGAATTTGGGATTTAGGTTGTAGAAAATTCTGAATGGCAATTAATTTCATGGCACACCCGTCTAGATTCGTGGCCAGAAGCTGATGAGAAAATTTGGCAGTGATTAGGGGTTGATGAAATGGGTTAAGAGGAATGGTTATTTAGTATGTGAGTACCATTCTAGGAAAACTAACCTAAGAAGAGGAGACTAGAAAAAGAGTAATCTGGGAATTCCTCTTGTAGTTCTTTAGGAATCACTTTCTAAAGCTAAGGCTGTATCGTACTTTGGGTTATTGGATTCAAACCATGCTTTATAAACATCATATCTTCGTTCTCTTATATAGAATAAAGTTGATATCTAAACTCATTTAAAGACATGTTGTTTGGTATGCATGTTTGACTTGAAGACTTGGATGCTTTACCAGACTCGAATGTTGACATAAGTGAGTGCCTATGAAGCACGACTATTCTACTAGGCCGATGTATCTGCATTGACTATCATATCAAATACAATTCTCGTCGGTTAGCGAAAGATATGTATCATATGCACACCATAAATATTTTTTTTTTTTAGTCAGCACCATACATATCAATAATTAATAAAATAGTATGTTATTTCTGGATAAGGCTTGGATATAGTTATCCCAGATAAATATACTTCAGATATGATAGTGGATGCTTGGAGCAGTATATAATTTTTATTTTTAATTATTAGCCTTTCCTCTGAAATTCACGTACAATGATACATTCATATAACTTTGACAACAAGTTAGTGTTTTTAAGTATTGTTGTCAACCTTTTACGCCCTATCTTTTGGCAAAAAGTTCTTCTAAGCAATCCCGCAAGTTGAATGCTTATTCTATTTCCTTCTATTGGTTACATTCATTTTGTGGATTTACCAAAAATTTGACGATATATGCNAGTTCTTCTAAACAATCCCGCAAGTTGAATGCTTATTCTATTTCCTTCGATTGGTTACATTCATTTTGTGGATTTACCAAAAATGTGACGATATATGCTTATTTGAAAGAAAAATATTAGTCATTTAGCAAAATTGTTGTTAAAGAATTTACTGAAAGTCAAATTGTTAAATAGTAGTAAAACTAAAAAAATATCTTATTACAGATGGGTCCTCGGCATTCGTAGTATTGGGTGTAGGACACAATATAATGAGTTGCAACAGCTGAATTTAACAAGTTGGATATTTATAATGAAAAACCAATGCTTGCAACTGTTGAACTGTAATTCATATCCTGAAGGAGGTTGTGTGCATATTTTTGAACCATATGAGGCTATATGCAACAGAGACAAATCATAAGGGGGGAAATGGATTTTGCCCTCAGAAATAGATTTTAAGCATTTCCAAAAGGGAATGAAACTGGTTTCTTCTTGTTGCTAACAATCAGACAGACTGGATTTCTGAAGACTCTTTCACATTTTGGTGGTTTAATCTTTTCGAGACTATTCAAAGGAGTTATATTCTGTTAACTTAGGAATCAAATGTTGTTTTCAATGCGTGGGATGAGTCTAGGGTGAACACAATGTAACTGAGAAAAGAAGTTTAAGAATTCCCAATTTTCTTCTATGTTATGCCCTTGTTCATTTGTACTTTTCTTCTCCCTCTACTCGTTTATTTGTGTGAATAGAATTGTAAATAGGATACTTGTATGTGAATGAAGCCCAAGTTTTCATGTTCCAGACATTAATTTTGTTAATTGCTCTGATATTATGTAGGGGATACAAGCGTTTCTTCAGAAGAGCTATGCTTGAAACATCCGATTATCTGAAGGATGATTGCTTGAAAATTAATTGTACCGTTGGAGTTGTGGTTTCTGGGATAGACTGTTCAAGATTACATTCAATTCAGGTTCCGGATTCTGATATTGGATCACATTTTGGTATGCTATTGGAAAATATGGAAGGTTCAGATGTTACTTTTGCTGTGGCTGGAGAGAAATTTCATGCTCATAAGTTGGTATTGGCTGCTCGATCCTCTGTTTTTCGATCTGAATTTTTTGATGGAATGGAGGGTGATAAGCAGGAGATTGCTGTTACAGACATGGAGCCCAAGGTTTTTAAGGTGAGAATATATAATAACTACTGAACTTCTGTACTTCCTAGGATTGTTTCTTTGTTTATTGTTGTTTCAAATGAGGATTGATATTATTTTTGCTGCTTTTTTTTTAATAGTTCTGAAATTCAATCTGCCACAGGCTATGCTGCATTTTATGTACAGAGATGCTCTTGTAGATGATGAGTTGGTAGCTTCTAGTTCTTCAAGTGCATCGTCCATATTTGATACCCTGACGGCAAAATTGTTAGCAGCGGCTGATAGGTATGATTTGGGAAGACTCAGACGGATGTGTGAGTCTCATCTCTGCAAGGATATATCTGTGAACTCTGTTGCAAAAACTCTAGCTCTGGCAGACCAATATCATGCCATTGAATTAAAAGCTGTTTGCCTTAGATTTGCTGCTGAAAACCTTGCAGGTATGTATATTAGTTTTAGTTTTTTTTTTCCTCCTTTGATTTAGATTTTCAGGATATATAGGTTGCCTCAGAAATGTTTCAAATCATCTCAATGATGATTTTTGAAATTGTGGAATCGCCGCATGTATTAGGATAGGCCCAAAACTTCCGACCATGAAAATATTCAATAAAGAAGGATATGTTTAGATGACAACATGTAAAAGAAACTATTGAAACAAGTGTACAGTTATGTTTGGCCTTGTGAGCTGGTATGCTTATATTAGATTGAAATTTTCCTGTAGATTTAGAATATTGCTGAAATATTTAGTAGGAGCATATTTACATTCCAGATTATCAGTAGTTGGGGCCACTTACCACTGTTTTTGCATGAAGGATGATTAGATGGTAGTTTCCTTTACATTCCTTTTTCCTTTCTTATATTTTCTTTTTCGAGATCAAGGTATTGAGTAGCAGTATAGAAATCCTTTCCCCCTGTTTCTCTCATATAATTACAAGGTATTAAGTAGTGTATATTAAATGTTACTTTTTTGATAAGTGGAATTTGAGTGATGGCGGTTTGGGGTTGCATAACAGTGACTTTACAACTTTATAACCAGAGAACCACAAATCTTTTAGAGATTATTTCAGTAAGCTCCGAATGAAAGTTTCAGTGTGCGAGGAGTTTCTTTATGTCCAAATAGATAGATCTCACCGGTTTTTTGGTCATGCTGCCATGCACGTGATTGGTTCCTTGTTTTGGGGAATATCATTAGTAGCTATGTAAGACTTATTGCAAAATGGTGAAGAGAAACCAGTTATTTATGTGTCATTACTTTTTTGTCCCTCTTTTTTTCTGTATGTGTGGGAAAAACATTAGGGGCTTATGTGTAAAATAAGAAAAAAAGAGAAGAATAGGGTGAATTTTAGGATTGTGGTAGTGGGTACAGGTCTTAGGCGATGAGGTTGAGGCTGCTGCTGCTTCTTCTTTTGTGACGAGGGCACTTCTATCCCACTTCAGAAGAACTTAGTTTGCTGGTCTGAAAGGGTTTGCCGTCTTCTTTTTCCCTTCATTTTATTCTCCGCCTCTCCATCCTTAACCTTTTGTTTGGTTTGATTTTGGCTTTTGGCGGTGAAGGTCTTGTCATCCATTTTTTTCCCCCTTCTTATGGCATTTTGTAGCCCCTTCTGTTCTTTTGTATTTTAGATTCAGTTGACTTTGAAAATGTGACTGGATCTCCTAAATTGATGTGATTGCATGTCTATTATTCTTTTTTTTTTCTTTCCATTTTATCATGAATTCAGTTGCACTTGTACTATCATTTCTTTAGTTTTGTGTTCTCTATTTGTATACAAGGGATCCAGATGCCCTCCAATAGTTTTTTCCTCCATTTTTCTTATCATCCACCATTAATGAGTGAGAGACCCACTTTTATTCAATGAGTTCCATTTGAATTCATGACAGGTGATCTATCAAGAAGAAAAATGAAGAGAGTATATTGGAGGGGATCTCACTCCTTGTAGAAGGTCTCCCTTTCGATTTTGGAATCTTTGTGGTGACTTGATGAGTGAAAGAAGTAGTGACATTCCTAGTAACATTTGAACTCTCTTACTCTTGACGGTAGTGCTCACCTATATGGCCCCCTAGTTTTCTTCTTTTTCTTTTTCAGGTAGAACTACCCAAAGGAAATTGTCATGAGCATTTTGGTGGATTCAATAGAAACTTGTGCCGTATTGTCTATGCATAAATTTATGAGGTGGCATCATTATGACAGATTAAAGGTGGCCTTTTTATTGTGATATGGAAGTAAGAAACATTGCATTAGTAGGTAAATCGATGTGGAGGTTTCAATTGGAGCCAAATTTTTTGTGGTATTTAGTTATCAAGAGCAAATATGGTTTACGGGCGAACAAATGGGATAGTAATAGGGTTGAAAGGACAAGTTTCCGCTGTCCGAGGAAACTCATATTTTAGGGTTTGACTAGGTTTTCCCAAGAGTTGAGATTTGTGGTGGGTAATGGTGAGAGAATAAGGTTTTGGGCGGATGTTTGGACTTTGGATGGCTACCAAATACCCACTTCTTCCAATCATCCATACTCTTGGGATTTAGAAATCCGTAGGAATGTAGGAGATAGAGACATTGGCGATCACACTTCATTTCTTGGTATCCTAAATAGTTGCTTGTTGAATCTCTAGAGTCATGATGTACGAAATTGGATGCTAGACGTCGGGTGTGTTCTCTCGTAAATCCTTTTTTGAATCTTTGATGAATCAATATTCTTGTCCTACTTTTGCCCCAGCTTTGATGAAATGGAAGGCTAAAATGCCTATTAAAATTCAAGATTTTGCATGGACTGTTGCACATGGTGAGCTTAACACTTGTGATATGCTTCAGAAAAGGCCTCATAGTTGTTTTTCACCTCAGTGGTGTGTGATGTGTAAAGTTAATTTTGAAAGCATTGATCACTTATTTTTACATTGCTCGGTTGCTTTGGCTATGTGGTATAAAGTTGTTTTGAAAGACATATTTGAGGTGGGTGATTCGTGCTTCATCCACATCTTTCTTTATTGAAGAGATGAAATGCTTTCGAAGATATGATAAAGGTGTGACTCTTTGGAACTGTGTTATTATTGCTACTTTTTGGGTTATTTGGAAGGAAAGAAATACAATAATATTTGAAGATCGATATGAGCCTTTGGAAGGATTGTGGAACTGTATTCATTTCTTAGCCTCATTTTGGGCGTCAATCTGAAAAGATTTCAAAGGAATTCCGTTTTTTGCAATCTTAGGGGGATGGAGAGAGATTTGTGATTTATGATTTATAGACTTGTTATGTAACTTTATTTTTTCTTTGTTTTCTTTTTATTGTTCATCTTTGATGTAACTCGTTTTTTAAATTACTAGCAATGCACGACGTGCGTTGCATGTAAATAAATTTAAATAATAGTTTTTAAAAAGGTAAATTGTATGTGTAACTAAATTAAATAATAAATTTGATGTCAAATAATTAATCTGTATTTTAATATTATTAAATTCAATTAGTAGTTTATTTTATAAGTCTTTGTTTTTTATTTAAGTACTTAATCTGTCATTTTTTTATGCATTTGCACAACTAATTGTATTATAGGATTATTAATTTTTATTTTATTAAATAGATTGATTAGATCGTTTATAATATTATTATATTATTGCATAATAAAAAATAAATTATAGCATATACTTGATTGTGGAATTCAATCTAATAATTACATGGATATAATAATTTAATATATACATGACTTTACTTATTCATATAGATATAGAAGTTTACATGTGTGGAGTATTGCATGCTTTATCTTGAATGAAGCAAGTAGTTAGCCAAATATTTTTGTTTGCTACTNTGATGGCGGTTTGGGGTTGCATAACAGTGACTTTACAACTTTATAACCAGAGAACCACAAATCTTTTAGAGATTATTTCAGTAAGCTCCGAATGAAAGTTTCAGTGTGCGAGGAGTTTCTTTATGTCCAAATAGATAGATCTCACCGGTTTTTTGGTCATGCTGCCATGCATGTGATTGGTTCCTTGTTTTGGGGAATATCATTAGTAGCTATGTAAGACTTATTGCAAAATGGTGAAGAGAAACCAGTTATTTATGTGTCATTACTTTTTTGTCCCTCTTTTTTTCTGTATGTGTGGGAAAAACATTAGGGGCTTATGTGTAAAATAAGAAAAAAAGAGAAGAATAGGGTGAATTTTAGGATTGTGGTAGTGGGTACAGGTCTTAGGCGATGAGGTTGAGGCTGCTGCTGCTTCTTCTTTTGTGAAGAGGGCACTTCTATCCCACTTCAGAAGAACTTAGTTTGCTGGTCTGAAAGGGTTTGCCGTCTTCTTTTTCCCTTCATTTTATTCTCTGCCTCTCCATCCTTAACCTTTTGTTTGGTTTGATTTTGGCTTTTGGCGGTGAAGGTCTTGTCATCCATTTTTTTTCCCCTTTTCATGGCATTTTGTAGCCCCTTCTTTTCTCTTGTATTTTAGATTCAGTTGACTTTGAAAATGTGACTGGATCTCCTAAATTGATGTGATTGCATGTCTATTATTCTTTTTTTTTTCTTTCCATTTTATCATGAATTCAGTTGCACTTGTACTATCATTTCTTTAGTTTTGTGTTCTCTATTTGTATACAAGGGATCCAGATGCCCTCCAATAGTTTTTTCCTCCATTTTTCTTATCATCCACCATTAATGAGTGAGAGACCCACTTTTATTCAATGAGTTCCATTTGAATTCATGACAGGTGATCTATCAAGAAGAAAAATGAAGAGAGTATATTGGAGGGGATCTCACTCCTTGTAGAAGGTCTCCCTTTCGATTTTGGAATCTTTGTGGTGACTTGATGAGTGAAAGAAGCAGTGACATTCCTAGTAACATTTGAACTCTCTTACTCCTGACGGTAGTGCTAACCTGTATGGCCCCCTAGTTTTCTTCTTTTTCTTTTTCAGGTAGAACTACCCAAAGGAAATTCTCATGAGCATTTTGGTGGATTCAATAGAAACTTGTGCCGTATTGTCTATGCATAAATNGAAGGATGTGAGAATTGAGGCTCTTGAGGCATCATCAAGTATTCACTTGAATGCAAGTTATTGCCATTCTGTTCTTCGTTCTTTCATGATGCTTTGGTTATGAGATCTGAATTATGCTTCCATTCTGCATTTCTATTAAGGGGGGTCTCTCAAAATATATGAAGATTACCAAATTCCTTGGTCCAATTTTCTTCATCTTCCAAATTATTGGCTGCTCGACCTCTCACTTTTATATGATGTTACATTTGACATTCAGATGTTTCCTATTGTTTTATTTCTTGTAATTTTGAACCCAAGCTTTCTGCACGATGTTTATCGTAAACAATAAACTTGCAATTGGTGCAATCATGACTGAAAAAGGGCTTGTATCTTGAGGCATTAGCAGTGACAACCGTGGTCAGAGAGCTTATACATGGTTGGTTTGGTTTTTGCATGTTGAAAGAGTGAGACTATGTTGAGATTGTGTGCCATCTTCTGCTAACGTCATGTGAGTGAAGTTTCCTGATATGTACTTCTGCATGTTTGAATTTGCTTGTCCACATAATTTTAGTGTTACATGTATGACATGTAAAACAGCATTTTCCATGAGGTTTTCTATCCTTGGTGCATCTTTTTGGATTTGTTTTATTCTATCATTAAATTGTCGAGCTTCTCTTTCTTTTGCTCCGTCTGGTCAATTTATTACAGCTGTTATGCGATCGGATGGCTTCGAGTACCTTAAAGAAAACTGCCCATCACTTCAGTCAGAGCTCCTGAAGACAGTGGCAGGTTGTGNTATACTCTTGCATTTAGAAATCTGTAGGAATGTAGGAGATAGAGACATTGGCGATCACACTTCATTTCTTGGTATCCTAAATAGTTGTTTGTTGTATCTCTAGAGTCATGATGTACGAAATTGGATGCTAGACGTCGGGTGTGTTCTCTCGTAAATCCTTTTTTGAATCTTTGATGAATCAATATTCTTGTCCTACTTTTGCCCCAGCTTTGATGAAATGGAAGGCTAAAATGCNGTGTTCTCTCGTAAATCCTTTTTTGAATCTTTGATGAATCAATATTCTTGTCCTACCTTTGCCCCAGCTTTGATGATATGGAAGGCTAAAATGTCTATTAAAATTCAAGCTTTTGCATGGATTGTTGCACATGGTGAGCTTAACACTTGTGATATGCTTCAGAAAAGGCCTCATAGTTGTTTTTCACCTCAGTGGTGTGTGATGTGTAAAGTTGATTTTGAAAGCATTGATCACTTATTTTTACATTGCTCGGTTGCTTTGGCTATGTGGTATAAAGTTGTTTTGAAAGACATATTTGAGGTGGGTGATTCGTGCTTCATCCACATCTTTCTTTATTGAAGAGATGAAATGCTTTCGAAGATATGATAAAGGTGTGACTCTTTGGAACTGTGTTATTATTGCTACTTTTTGGGTTATTTGGAAGGAAAGAAATACAATAATATTTGAAGATCGATATG